GAGGGTGTTTCTTCCCGCCCGCCTGAGGTACGGGCGTCCCCAGCCCTCTCCCCCGGCTGAGGGAAGGGAGCAGTCGCCCGCCGGCGGTGCCCTGGCCCCCCGCGCTGAGGGAGCGGGGCTGTCTTCCCCTCCGGTGAGGGGCGGGTGTCCCCAGCCGCTGAGGGAAAGGGGGGGGGCTCTCTCTCCACCCCGGACAGAACCATGGCTATAGCTGCAGTTCCCGAGGCGGAAACCCGGCTGTGTGGCAACTGGTAAGCGATGGAACCGAAACCTTGGCGGGGCAGTGTCTGTGTCAGTGCCTGGCCTTTGGGCCGGCAAGCTCAGCCATCAAACGAGCACGCAGCATATATTCCCTTTGAAATGCTATCCAGTACTGAAAGGTGCAAGTTAATAACTCACATGCTATTTTTTTTAGAAATGTTTAGGATTTGAGTATGCCTTAATGTCTTATAAAGCAGTTTTCCCAGCCATTACTCAAGTTTCTGTCTTAACAGGCAACTAGAGAGAAACGAAAGTATTCAAATAAAAACGAAAGCTTGGTTTTCTGTGAGGCAGACGTGAAGTACATGATTCCAAGTTTTTCTTCAGCAGCTATGTGGCTTGGAAGCAGAGATGTAAAAATAGAATCAATAGGCACATACTGTTGTGGCAGTGGTTTCTTTTTCAGTTCTCTTTCTTTACAAGCTCCAGAGTTGGTAATACATTTACTGATAATGATGTCATCTCAGACGCTTGATCTTAAATACAAGCAACTAAAGAAATTAACTTTTTTTTTCCCTCAAAGAGACGTTGAAATCCAAACAGTTTCTTGCAACATCGGTGTAGTTAGTTTGCAAGCAGTGAGTATGGGCAGTGTAGACACTGCTGTTGGACTTTGTTGCTTTGGCAGGCTGTTGGCTGCTTGGGATCTGGCAGGGGAGAAAACGGAACATCTGTAGAGATTTCCCTTTGTGACAGGGAAGGCACTAAGCCATAGGTTATAAAGTTAATTTTGGTGTTTTGAAGGGTGGCTTTTTGTGTGCAGGGGGGGAAATGATACCTCCATCTAGAGATGATGCTACCTGCTTGAGGCAGGAATAAGGGCTAAGTTCCTTGTGCCTCAGTTCTTTTTGGACCTTTTGTGTTTGTAAGCCTTTTGCATCCTCCTCAAGATAGGAAAGCAAGTGTCTTAGAAATGAGGTGAGCTGGGGAATTTTGGCTACAGAGTAATATGGTTATTGCTATCATTCCCTGAACAGATCTGGCCTAACAGGATCTGTTACTTACTTTTACCAAGCAGAGCATTGTTTGACCTCTCATAGCCAAGTTATTTTGAGGAAAAAACTTCGCAGGTTAATTTATTAACTTGAATCTGGTGATAACTTGTTTATGCTGCAGAATTTGTCTTTCACATAAGGAAATAAATCCACCTTGATTTTATCTTAATGCAGCATGAAAGCTGCGATCTTTGCATGCTATATATGTGAATGTCCCAACTATAAGGGAACATGGAAGCCTGGTTGGGCTTGCCTTTCTCTTTAGTTACTCAGTTCTCTAAATTATGAATTCATAGAAAACTGTCTTAGGATTTTTTATTTTATGAAAAACTACTTGAAATTGTTGTCAGCGTATTTTCTGAAAAGTAACCTCTGTGACTTTCTCATAGCAAAAAGGATATTCCTGTTGCTAATTTCATCGTGCATGAAATCCACTGTCGCAGAAATATCGAAATATGTTGCTTCTGCAGTGAATCAGTCCCAAAGTCTGAAATGAAGAACCATATTGAGTCTGAACATGTGCAGGTGAGAAACGTGTTTCTCCTCTAAAATTGCTGACTTCTATGGCAATTCATCTAACGAGGTCTGTTTATTGTAGGTTACCTGCAAGTGTCAGGTGAAGATAGAAAAAAATCTCTTGAAGGATCATGAGGTTAGTGGATGTTATTTTATTAGATGCTTGGAAGATGCTCTATGGTATTTCCAAGCACTGATTCTGGAGCCTTTCTCTCAGCCGAGACCTGAATTCCAACCTGTGATTTATCCTTTTTGTTGAGCCATGCTTTCTAAATTCACACTCTAAATTCTCTGAGAGAAGGTGGTTGGAAACTACCTTAAAGTGATGGAGCCTGCTCAAGTCTTCATATTAAAGGGGTATCTGTGATTAGCAGTGATTTTTGTCCTTACTAGTGGTTAAGATGAAAAATGGTACACTTATTCAAATGTACAGAATATGATTAACTTTTTTCATTGCATTAACATTGCACGTTTCTGACTCTGCTGCAGTCATTATGTGAGTTGTAATAATTCATTGTGTCCAAACAGACTTTAAAAATAGCTTGTAAAATAAGCTAAAATAGGACACAGTGGGATTTTCTGAATTTCTGAATCCAGTTGGCTGCTGTCACAGGCAATCTTGTGACAAATGTCAGTACCTTCCCTTCCTATGGGCTCATTTAAAGACAGCTCTGGAAGTGCCACTGCTTATCAGTGATGAAAAAAGGATTTTCTTTGAAGAAATGTCCAGTTCAAACCACTGGAAGTAGTTTATCCTGCACCTTTTGCAGCGCCTGCAGTTATAACATGTACTTCATCTATGTTTAACCCCTTTTGAAGGGCAACTTACCTGTTATTCAGTGTAGGGTAAAGAACATATGCAAGCAATTCTTGTTGAGTAGTAAATGTGCTGTTAATCTGTTCCCTAATATAGCACACACTAACGTGTTTTTTAGCAGTACTCAATGAAATGTGATTAGTACTGGATGTCAAGACTGTATGTAAAAGCTAACGTCAAAAAGCACCATATGCGTCTGCTGTCCAAGCGTTACAGGTTAAAAAAAGAATGTTCTGAGTATTCGAGGTGCTTCAGCCGGCATGGTAATGACTACACAGGTTATACAACACATTGTTCTTACGTTTCTCACATAGTATCTTATTCCAGACTATTCTTTAGTGTAGCGTTGGATCTGAAAGAAACAATAGACTGCCTAACTCTTAAGGAAACTGAGAACCTCCCTGCACCTTTGCCTCAGTCTTCCATATGTGAAGAATAATCCCTCTTTCTTTTTCCAGGCGTCAGCGTGCCCTCTGCGTCCTGCTGTCTGCCAGTACTGTGACATACAGCTCCCTTTCAACAAGCTCCAGGACCATGAAATTTACTGCGGTGCGAGGACTGAGACATGCAGGGGGTGCGGTCGTAACATCATGGTGAAAGATCTAAAAGAGCATCCTCAAGTCTGTGGGCAAGAGGTGAAGCAAGTCAGAGGAAGCAGAACAGTGCCTCGCTATGAGGATGCAGATTTGCGTGCCACGCGAGACATCAGAAACTGGCTAAGATCAGGTAACTATGCTGGGCCTTTGTGGGAATCCTAGAAAGTGCCTCGCTATGAGGATGCAGATTTGCGTGCCACGCGAGACATCAGAAACTGGCTAAGATCAGGTAACTATATGCTGGGCCTTTGTGGGAGTCCTAGAAAAGCAGATTTATAGCAGCTGCTTAGGAGACAAAACCCTTAAGGACATTAGCAGAAGGAATGTTTGAGCAGCACAAAGAAAGCAAAAGTGAGGTAAGGTATAGAGAAGAGTAATAATTGGCTTCTAATTTGACATTTGGCAGCTGATCCAAGTATAAGGTTTTGCAATTGCTTTCTGTGAAAATACTGAGTAGTGAAAGCTCCAGAGGCACTGTAAATGGGGCTGTTTTACCCTGGAATAGAACTGCAAGTGTCTAAGCCAACTAAATAGCGGACTGCTGAGGTACCCGGTGTGAAAGCCCAGTCCACTGCCTGTTCTTTTGTCTTGAAGTATCTAGCTTAAAAATGACATTGGAGTTGTTTGCTCACTGCAAATTCTGTCCATTTTTGTTCAGCAGCTGCACTCCTCCTTACTTCAGTTAAGTAGAAGTGTAGGTAAGATCTGGATGTGGGTTCACCTATGTAGTGCTGCGCGTTTCTGCAGTAACATCCTGTCTGGACATAGCTGAGACTGTTACCAATGCCTCTGCTCTTTCCTAAGCCTCTAATCTCTTACCTCCATGTGCGGAGGGTGATGTCACACTTAAGACATACCCTTTCCATGAGCTCTTGGCTGATTCTATGCTGTACTTAAATGCTGTGGGACACTCAGAGGGTTTAACACTGCAGAGTACTAAATGACAGTCTTTGCTGTAGACGATTGCCCAGCTTCTAGAAATAACTTCTAGGCTTAATTAATAAAACTCAATAATCTGGAAAGCTGTAACTTGTAGGCCACTTACTTACGCTAAATTCCAAAGAGTGTTCACAAGTAGTATTTTTATGCACATGTAAGCTTTGTTTAAAATTCTCATGTGATCACTACAAATGAAATACCAGAGAGATTTGAAACAGGCCAGCACGGGGGCGGAGGACTTAGCATTTCTTGAGGCATCATCAGTGGAGTCTTGGGCCCTGTTCTGGAACCCTGGTATTCTTTTCGGTGTAGCTTTCCTACCAGAAAAGATTTCATGGTTTTCTTCCGTACATGAACAATTCCCACTGTTGTCAAATGCAATATCATTAAAAGGAATTTGTTTTCCTATTGATGTACTGACAAAACAAAGCAGAGGTGTTTCAGCCTCATCAGAGGGATGAGACTACATTATATTAGTTGGACCTTGTTCACAGTGTAGGTATGGAATGTTCCTCAGTGACTTTGTGAAGTTCTCAAGAAGCTTAAGTTCAAGCTTTTGGAGTAAGAGGAACGACTTTCTTCTTTTTCTCTTTTTTTACTTTTTACAAAAAAAATAGGATGACTGTTTTCCTTCTTCCTTCTGAATTTGATACAGGTGTCCTTCTGGGCTTGGAAACACTGACCTCCATGAGTGTCCGCACATGCACGTGTGAAACCCTCATGGTGGAGCTAGTCTGATGCACAGAAGTGAACTGCTTCTTGCAGATTTAACATTCTCTGAAATTTATGATGTTTATCTTTTGAAGAGGATGAACTGGAGCAGTTGGAGAGAAATGAAAACACTCATTCTTCACTTTATGAAGAGTGGAACACCAATTTAGACTACGTGTTGGCTCTTAGCCTGCAAAATGAGAATAATCCTCACAATAATGCTGCAGCTGAAATTCCCAGTGACTTCTGGGAAGACTACTACACCAAAGAGTCTGTGCCATCGGCCTGTCTTAACGAAACAGACAAGTCAGATATCTTCTCCTGTGACTCTTTAGTGTCTTTCAGCACGTCAAACCACATAAAAAGTAAGTATAAAAGCTGTTTTGGTGGTGGTTTTTTCCCTTAAAGTTTGAGGGAAGGGAGAAGGGAAAAGAGGGTTCTTGGATTGGGAATGTCAAAGATTATCTAGGTATTTTAAAATGTCAAAATAAGTCTCTTTGAGACTCCCTCTAAATAATTTTTAGATAGTACACAGGAGATTAGACTCTCCATGAGTACCAGTCCTCCTTCCTTTCTTAAATTTTATCTTCTGTTCCCTCAAAACTTGGCAATATTAGTGTTTAAAATAGTTTCTTTCAGAGAGGATTTACTAAAGCAAAGACAGCAAGGGAAGAAGAAATAAAAGCTGTAGCTGACCTTGATATGCAGTAAGAGATTCATAGCACCTGCATAGGGGACAGCTTTCTTGTCGAAGTAAACATGATAGGAAGGGAGGATCTGGGGGAGAGCACACGTGCCAGCTTATTTTGAAAGGAAAAACGGTACTAAAGGATTTATTAAAGGCAGTAATAGGCTTTATTACCAGACTGTTCAATATATCTTTGACCCCAAAACGTTGCTCTCACTCTGGGTGATGCGATTTTGCTCATGTGAAACTCGGCAAGCGTGACTAGAGTAGCTGTTTCCTGAGCGGTTGCTCCGGTTGCTGTCCGGCGGCACAGAGCAGGAGCCTGTTGCTCTGAAGAGAAGTCGATCCAACTGCATCAGACCTCTCTGTGGTAGAGGATATAACCGTTACTTACTTTGCAGATGACGAGATCATCATGTTGCCATGTGAATTTTGTGAGGAGCTCTACCCTGCCGAAGATCTGATTCTTCACCAGGTTTAGTATTTTCTTGTATTCTATCTAGGGATTTGCAGTAAAGAGGGTTTTTTGATACCCTGACTGAACAAGGGCGCAGTCTTCGCTCAGTGAGAACTCTAGCAATTTTGTCTTTGCAAGGCATTGTTTTTAAAGTCCATCTATGCTCAACAGGAGAGCTAATTTTTCCATGTTGTTTGTCTAACAGACAGGTTGTAACCCAGCAAGTGTCTTTGCTTCGTTCAGTAAAAGAAGTTCTTCTCCAAATCCGCAAGAATACGATGGTCTGCGTGCTATTGGGTCCAAAAGCTGCAGATCTCTCTCTTCCTCCCAGCCTCAAGCCGTCCAGGCAGAAGGAAACATCATGATTCCCTGTGAATTTTGTGGCATCCAGCTAGAAGAGGAGATGCTCTTTCATCATCAGGTACTAAACAGAACTTGATCTGTTGTATTACATCTGGGTGTTCAAGAGCTATGCCAAGCCCTGCGGCCTCTTTTCAGGAAGTCAAATAACTGTCCCCTCTGTCAGGTCTTCCTAAACAAATCCTCTTGGCTCCCATCTAAAATGTTGTGGTACATTGAAGCTCTTACTGAAAAATAACAATTATTTTTGAAAGCCCTTATAATGAAAGCTAAACAAAAGGCCCTGAAATTGCACGACACAAATGTTTCACTTACTTACGTGTAAAAGTTATGTTGCAATTGCAGCTAAGGTAGGAAAAGGACACAAGTGAATGACCTGTTTAAGTAAGAGAGGGAGTAGACGACTCGGACTACAAATCTAGGAGAAGGAGGAATGTCTCAGAGGGAGGGTGTAAAGAGAGAGAGAGAAAGGGTAAAAGAGCATGAATAGATCGGAAGCTCGGCCTAAGAGAGAAGTGGTGTGTGGAAGAAGCGATGGGTGCTGCAGAGTGCTTTACGAGGGGATTCCGAATCTTCTGTACTATGATGCAAAGACTTCTGTACTTCTATGCAAAGACTGGTTTATCTGCCAGCTTCTAATATTTTTGGTGAAGTTTGTGCGCAAGAATCAGGACTTGTTAAGGATTAGTGATGGGAGCTGAGTTGCAACAATATAGTTTGTTTGCAAGCCATGGAAAGGACACCCTGTATTTAAAGTTTTGTGTTCCACACAGCATTCC